ATAATGTAATACCCACTGATTTCGTACATGCTAAATTAAGTTCAGCTTAGCTAACAAATTATAGTATGATAAAAACGGAGGTTTTGCATTATTGAGTTATTTTATAAATTATATCGATTGCAATTACAACATAACATACAGATCTGTTAATTCACATATTATAGAAAAGCGATTCTAAATTATAGTTGTACATTTTGTAACATCCTTTTATGCTTTGTAACTATATCATAAAAGTTTGAGGAGAAATGAGTTAGATTTTGTAAGGTAGTATAATATATTAAACTTTGTATATATTTTGGATAATTATTCTAAATTAAAAGTACGTTTAATGCTTTATTGTTTTAACTTATTTCTTATATCCTATTAAATCGAGTCTTTTTTTACTTTTTTTTTTATTATGTCATTTTCAGCATCACGTTACATACATATGTACTTCTCGGAATACGGTGATCTCGATTGTATTATAGCTGAATTATGCAATATTTAGTAAGAAACATTTATTTATTAACTTGAGGAAACCATGCTTTTTTCTTAATTAAAGAGATCAATAGATTAATTATAAAACTGTGCAAGTTGCAACTTATTGACTGTCATTGTGCAACTAAACAGAAAAAATTCATTATGAACGAACGGAAAATAAAAGTGTCGAGTTTTTGCTTTAAAATGGACATTGTGTGGTCAAATATTAGTGACATAAAGCTCTTGTGAAACACCTCTGAGTGAATGTATGTATAAATTCATTATGTTGATCGTTTATGTAACCACATTGATATCTTTTATTCTTTCGCAGTTGCTTTACTTGTAGTATTATCTACGTGCGTGATTTCGTTCATTTTCTTTTAAAGAAAATCAATTTAAGATAGAAAAAGGCAGAAGTAGAAAAAAAGAGAAGAAAAAGGAAAACGAACAAATCGAAATGAATCGAGTAAAGAAATTGCTATCGAGTAAAGAGACTCGAGATTATTTGATGAGGTAAGTTACGTAGAACATACTTGTTACGTAGTTACGTATACGCAAGCATGCACGTGTGATCCTGTTACTTAGTATTCGATATATATTGAATTAAGAGAGATTTCAACGTATGAAAATCGCTTTTCTGTTTTAGCACACATTTTTGGGGACCTGTAGCTAATTGGGGCATTCCAATCGCTGCAATCGCCGATATACAAAGAGATCCGAAATATATCAGTGGAAAAATGACACTTGGTTAGTTTGTCAGTTTTATGTTCTCTAATATATTTGTTAGCCGTTAAAATTTTCCTCGTATATACATGAAAATAAGTGAAGTTATGCAAAGGTTTTTTGTATGCTAAAATATAACACTGTTTTTAGTCGTTTTACATGCATTCAGTATATTCGTTGTTTTTTTAATAGTTGAACATTCTATAGAAAATTGGATACTGTAGTGTGCAGTTAAATACATGCATTTCTAGTTTCACTTGGATAAATTCGAGTTTATCAACTGGTTCATATATTCAGTGGAATTATAATTATAGAATATTAAAAAATTGAGGAATTGAAATATCAAAATGTTGAATTATAATGTCATGTTTTTTATTCAAATACAGTACATATAAGTGAGTTGTTGAACATATCAGTATTGAAGAACTTATGTTAAAGAATCATAAGATGCTATATTAATTTTTTTCAGCTTTATGTTTATATTCAGCAATGTTCATGCGTTTTGCACTCAGGGTTGAACCACGCAACTTACTTCTCTTTGCCTGCCATTTTGTTAATGAAGGTGCACAAATTACTCAAGGGAGCAGATTCTTGAAATACCATTATGTAAATAAAAACGAGTAACGAGAAATATAAAATGGATACATATAATTGACCCTTAAATGTACAAATGTTTACAATTGTTTGTTCATTTTATTTCATGTAGTGAACATCATTACAATTAAGTTATATGATGAATACCTCCTGTTGTTTCAAATAGGATGAAAAACACTTGTAAATATAGTAATAAATTGTTTTTAAATGTAAGTTTAAATACTAAACATTGTAATAAAAGTAGTAAAACAATTTTCTATAACTTATGTATAATCAGCATAGTAAATTAGACAGTTGTAAATGTAAACCTATTAATAAATGTATATAAAACAAGTAACGTTGGAAAATGTTAGTTACAGTATTAATCAGTAGTTTCAATAGTTATGGAACATTTACTTCCTATTCCTTTACCAATGTATTAACAATAAGTTTACCAATGTATTAATAAATTAGTAACATGTATTAACTAATTTTATTATATAATTTGAAATAAAAAAAAAAATTTGGTTAATTTCATTATATATGCTAAATTAAGTTCATAATATTATCTGCAATGAGTACTTGTTATGAATATTGATGACTGTTTTGTACTTATAAAAGGGACAAGGTGAAATGACATAAAGCAAAATATAATATAAGCTGATACAATTATATTTACAATACATCATCGTGGTACAAAAAATATAAAATATTTGAAACTAACATTGAGTTATAACGATAATACATGAAATAAATTATGTTTTTAATAATATTATTTATTTGTAAAATTGATGATGATGATGATGATGATGATGATGATGATGATGATGATGATGATGATGATGATGATGATGATGATGATGATGATGATGATGATGATGATGATGATGATGATGATGATGATGATGATGATGATGATGATGATGATGATGATGATGATGATGATGATGATGATGATGATAATAATAATAATAATAAAGTGCTTACAAATGATAGAAATCTTCTAAAAGTGTTAAGTCAACAATCAGTATTCTATACAGACGAACGGACGGATTATATTCTTAATTTAAATTATTATATAGTTTACGAAACTTAAAAGTTTAACTTAATGGACGGCATAATAGTGTGTTGCACTGTCACGATACTACAGTATGTAACAAAAGTTTCCGAACTCTAAGTTTAATAATTTATCGTGGTGGAATGGAAGACGGTAAAAAGGAAAGCATGATATCTTGTACCTTAATATATTTGTTTAAAATAAATCAAATATTTAAAATGTTTAAAATCTAAAAAGAAAAATGTCAATACGTAAATCAAACGTGTTTGCAATCTGAGTTCGGGAACTTTTGCTACATACCGTATTACATCACTACAAGTTACTTACTTCTAACAAAATAGTATAATATTATCGATGTTAATAACAGTACCTGGTTAACTTGAATGGTCGAGGCACCGGCTAATCGACACTTGAACATATCGTACCTATGAAACGTACATTTATGTAAAATTATCCCGAATAATCGTATATTTAAAAAAAGAATTTTGTTTACGTTAATTACCTGGTTTCTTGATCATTAATTAGATTATTGAATTCAGCTTCTACCAATTGACCATCATAATATGTGATCAAGTCTTCGAATGGATATTCAAAACCTTGCTTGCATTCGCACTTGTATCCACCTGTTTCGAAACCCCTTCCGAGAATAGGCACACACTAAATGAAATGAAACAAAAAAATGAATCGTCAAAATTACGACAATCATAGGGAGTAAATATTAATTTTAAAGAAATTCTTAGAAAATCTTACGTATGACGTTTTTTTATCACATTTGTGAGTACCCTTAAACGCATTTGGGGCATAGAACACATCGTCGCATTGGTTGATGTCAAGCTGAAGTAAATCCATGGTCACAGCTACAACACCTCTATAAGGATTTTAACATAAAATGTGATCTTCCTTGTCTCCTTTCTTTGGAATCAAACAGGTTTTCTGTCCTTATGGACTATCTCACATTCGATTTCTCATGCATATGCTATACCTTGTTCAGTTGTCCGGGACGAGAGAAATACTTACTTGAATTCCAGTTTCTCTTTCAAACTGTCCAAACCAAAAAATGGGGATGCATAGGTAATTAGCCATTTCTTCACTTTGCCGTTGCAATCAAAGTACGGAGTTGTCCAATGGCCGTGATTCAGGTTTGCTGCCCTATACAAACGAACGTGCATTCCCATGCATTAAAATAAAACCTACTCATAAGATCAATTCCTCTTATTTTCTGATGCCACAAATATAATTTTTTTATGTTCCGGTTAAACATTACGCATTTACTTCTTCTCCCCCTGCCTCATCCCCACCAATAAACTTAGTATTTCAACATATAACTTATAAGAAAATAAACAGCTCTTCATTCTTACCTATAAGAATTGGGATAATGTTCATATTTTTTAAGATATTCACCAGTTTCATTGTATCTAATTTTTATTTTCATATAATATTTCTCCAGTTCATCGAAATTCGTTGCCCACCTTTCTTTCAGTAATTGAAAATAATTCTTTTTTACGTATGCATCACCTATAATATGAAAGTAAAATCCTTAAAGTAACTATAATATTTTAATAACAATAAGCATTTTTTAATCACTTCTATGCTACCTGTATCATTGAGTCTAGCTAAATCTTCGACTTTGAATTTTCGAGTGTTTAGTTGAGTTTTGTATGCATATGGAGCAAAGAATGTTCTATTTGTAAATTTATTACGATCCCAAAGCGTTGCAGCGGACCATATCTTAGTATCTCCAAGGACTAAAGCTAAAGTTTCCCCGATCATTTGATCTTCAGTGAGTGATCTATCTGCTACTCTTTTACCTGAATAAACTTCATAAGGATCGGAAATTTGTAAAAATGCGCTAATAAAGTTTGCCAATCTGATAGCCATTTTTGCTTCATTTTCAAAAAATTCTTTAGCACCAAAGCTTATATCTCCGCATAATATTAAATCTTGCTGTGTGTAACTATGATTTTAAATATTAGGAGTGAGATTATTTTCATGGTTTTAACATAATTATTGAACGGACCGCTGAAAAAACGTACGAAAACGGATGCTTTCTAGCATACCTTCTGCAGGTTTTTGAGTTTATACTTAAAATAAATTTCAAAGTTTGATCTATATTAATTTGCTCGGATCTTAGCGCTTCTGGTCCGGTAGAGTAATTCCTGTAATGATAATATTGCTCGAGATACTTTTCTCTGAAATGTGGTTTTGCCTTTTCCCACTGTACAAGCATCTTGTGAATCCCTAAAATATGAAAAATGAAACATTGATGAGTAATACAAAAACTAAAAATAGGTAGTACAATAATATAGTAATAGGAAGAAAAAATAAAAATAAAGAAAGAATGTAGAAATAGAAATGCTTACATCCTATTCGGGAACAATCAAATCCATTGTAATATTGTTCTTGAGTTGCTCTTTCTATAATTTCTCCTAAATATGGACGTCGTACTACATTCGGTAACCTGAAACCCGGTTTACATCTACACTGGTACCCTCCCCTTCGAAAACCCCAACCATGTAATGGTTCACACTAAATAAAGATATTTAGATTAAGATTAATAAAAAGAACAAATTTGATTTGTAAAGCATTAAACATGTACTACTTTTTTACATCTAATACCTCTGTAGTTTCTGTTTTACATCTAGCAGTGTTTTCAAATCTGTTTGGACCACTATTCCCTTTTCCTTTAGGACACTGATTTATATCTATTCTTTCAAAATCCATTTCTATTACGGATATCGCAGTATAACTGAAACAAATATATGCAGTTTAAAATAAACTGTGAATAAATAACTTTAAATCGTGTGTTATGTAAAAATGTACGTTGGATATTCAATATGTCTAAATCCAGTATGTCTTGGATAAATATCTGCAATAGGTACAATTGCTGCTACAAGCCATCGATTTGATCTACCACAATCAAAATAAGGTCTGGTCCATTTCACAGGTCCGGGATATTCATCCGCGCCTATGTAAAATAGAAACAATAATAGAATATGAAGATCTAACTTGTGTTTATCTATAAACTTTATTACAGTACCACGTGGTCCATGAAATGTAAATGTTTCATTAGTATTATTAGCATATCGAATTTCAACTTGGTAAGTGGTTTTAGTGTCATGTCTCCTATCAACATTATCTGGTAACCATTTCTTATACCTAAATTAATAAAGCTGATATATAATAATTTATAAGTAATTATAAAGTTTATGTAATTGTTAACCATGTTTTGATTTACCATTCGTTTATACGATAATAATCTGTCGTATAATCTTCGCTTAGACTACCACTGGCAAATGCACCAAGATCTTGTACGTTGAATGTGTTCCGTGTGGATATTCTTTCCAAATGTATGGGATCATTAAAATCATCAGCTCTAAAAGTTCGTGGAGCAAATCTGGGCATAGTTTTGTTGAAAAAGCCTCTGTATGATGGTGAATAAGACATATTTGGAGAAAAATATATGGCAGAAGCATTTATATATGGATTTGCAGAAACATCTGCAACTGTTGACAAGAAATAATACATCATGCCTGGATCATACGTATCATTGATGGCAGGACGTATGAATCTAGACTGCAAAATATAACTCCAGAAGAAGGATCTACTAAGAGCCATATTATGAAGATGCAGCAAAGCAGTCCTATTTGGAAATACAGGATTAATATTAATATCTTTGATGTCAGGTAAATGAGAAACCGTATCCTCCGGTAAATAAAGATCTCCAAGATGTTGAATAGGACAATTCTCTTCATTGATTTTATCCATTTTTAAACGGATTTCATCAAATGCATCTCTGGCTTGCCATTCGTATTGTCCGACAACGCCCAAACAGTAGAAGCTCACGACCACTATCGTGTACATTTTTGAGCCAATAAATTCCATTTTTCCGTAGAAATGGTAGTTAGATTTTTACATCTGTATCATTATTATATTGATTTGTTGAAACATAAAGAAATAAAAAGAAAAAAAGAAAATGCTACGACAAAAAAAAGAATAAAATGGAGCCTGTTTTACGTACGTAACGTTCATTCACATCCCACACGAAACTACATCAAGAACAAGTATAAACACGCCCAATTCACTCGAGAATCGCACGCTAGTTGTATTCTTATATATGTATACCACCGTCTCATAAAAGCTGGTACATATTGCCTAAGTTCTGACGTCATCAGTTCTATACCAAGTTAAAGTTAACTTTTGTCGACCAAATTATACTATCAATGCAAATGATGAACAGATGAACAAACCGCCATTATTTGAAATTCCTTGATATCGCTATAAGTAGATTTATTTTAGAATTTCAATCATAAATATAAATAAATTGCACATTAATGTGATACTTGATGATTATGTTTTACGATGCATATAATTTTAAAATATGTATATATATATTTTTTTAGATAATTTTGTTGTAAAACAACATATTGTGTAATCTACATCATTTTGTTCAAAACGATATTTCAAAAAAAGAGGAAGAAAAAAGAGAAGTTAAACTAAAGTTTAATACGAGATAACATTTAAATATGTTTTATTATGGTAATTCGTATAGCATCTTGGTCCAACGACCCCCCAAGGGTTTGACTCTCCCAAGTACACGTAAGTGTACTCTGCCCGTTGTGGCATTGTCCTAATACAGGTTCACCCCTATTTATTTGCGATGCGAAAAAAGAAGAATTTCTCATAGCTAAACAAGTATTTTGAGGAGACAACTTGCTGGGGGTCTACCTCATGCTTTAATGCGACTGTTCACGTTGTTCTCGTTCCTGAGAAAATTTTTGTAGTGTCTACTCGCAGTTCGAGGCTTTGGATATTAACGTGGGAAATCATCGTCCAAAGGGTTATTAAACATTTCTCATATGAAACTCTTTCATTTAGTTTCAAAAATATTTTTTAGAAAGCGTATACGAGAAACATATAAGATTTTAAGATAAATTTCGGAATAATAATTTTAATTGAAATTTATAATAACAACTGTTTTCATTAATATTCGATTGTGTCATTTTTAATTATAGTTCAAATATTTGCTCGGTATTCTTTCTATTTAATGTTGATACACTTAAAATATATTAATTAGTCAAATTAAATATTAAATTGGTTGTTCGAATTAACCACCAGGAAATTTTCAGCAAAATATAGCAACAGAAATATTTAAAGGCATTATTATTGGAATACTATCAAATATCTCTAAACTTTAAGTGAAATATCGATTTATACAAATTTTTCTATACTAAAATTCCAACCTCCCACGACAATGGCTCCAGAGTCGAGCAAAAAATGCATTGTCTGTGAAGAGTGCAGACAGCTAAGTAATGAGAGATAGAAAAAGGGAGGGGAGAGAGAGAGAGAGAGAGAGAGAGAGAGAGAGAGAGAGGTGATCACGATAGGGGAAAAAGAAAGGAAGAAAAGAGACATAAAGGAGGGGATAGGCAGGAGAGCGTGAAGGGGAGGAAGAGGTAGAATAGAAGAAGAAAGGAAGAAAGCGAAGAAAGAAATAAAAATAATATAACACGATGAGTAAAGCATGGTTTAGTAATATTCTGTAGATTAGCGGTTACTGATTACTTTTATGACCACAGTTCATTTTCGATGTACAGAGAATACAAAGGAATAAAAATGAAGAAAACGGAAAAATTCTGAAGGAACAGGTTTCTGCAGGCGAACGTATGACCATTATCCATCTTTGTTACTCCTTCCAGTTTGAGGGACGCGGGTGCGTGCTCAACCAGACAGGCGGTTTACGGTTGAATCAGGACCGTATCTTGCTGTCTGCGCTGTGTTCTGTTATCTTGAACGTTATCCGCCGCGTTTAAGAAAAACTATAAAGAAATTGCGTATCTATCTTTTAAGTATCCATAAAATAATCGTTCAGCGAATTTGAAAGACTTTTTTGTTTAATATAAATTTTTCCTACATAAATGTGAATGTGTATATAATATGCAATTTTGTGTTTCTTATGGCCTTACTTCAAGTCACTAAACACGCGCGCGCGCGAGTACACCCTTATTTTATTTCATTCTATCATTCGTCGATGACACTATGTTAGTTCTCTACGTGTATTATAAGCATGACATTTTATAATATACAATTTTTACAAGGAAATTATACGTTTAATACGTATTACATCGTAGTAAATGAAAAAAAGCATTTCATCATATTTACGCTGTGTGTATGTGCATATACATACATATATGTCACTTCATTTGTACACTATTCACTTATTTATTTAGGCGTGTAGGTGTTTTACAGATGTGAATACATCTGCACATTTTATATAACGTAGGTACATACATACGGTATTTACTTATATGCATGCATATGCATGTAAGTACATATCTCTCGATTTTATTTGCACACTTTTAGCATTCTACTTAATATCAAAGAAGTGAAATTCATGTTACTCCTTACACCATACTTTCACCATAATATTGACAGTGCCTGTATTTTTAATTGAATATAGCTTAATTTTATTGTAAAATCCTATTCTTGCTACGAATGCGGCGATGTAAGTACGTATGTATGTAACAATATTGTTCCTAAGGTACGTTCCTTTCAGTTATTGTATTACAGATTAAGCACCATCGCATAACTGTTATAATGATAAGTAAGATTAAAGTGTAAGCAAGTATAAATATACGGAGTAAAAGAAAAATGTTTAATAAAAACGAATGAAATAAAAAAGATGGACATTTTAAATAAAGAATGTGAAAACCGGAAGAAACGGTAAGGGGGACCGGAGGATAGTAGTGACGTTCCTGACTAAGGCGGGGCTCGCATATACCGCGAAGAGAGGTAAGCGGTTGAATCGGATTGGATTGGGGCGCAACTAGCAAGCAAGCAAGCGAGGAAACTGGTTTGGTTTTGTGGGGCTTGCACCACTGCACCGCTCTTTCAGCGAGACAGTCCAATTTATGCATTACGGCTATGTAGGCACTACATGATATCGAAACGCTGCGCCCGGGCTTACTCCACATACCGTCACCATCATTGCAATATTATCGGAACTTTGCAAGTGCCTACAAGACTAAATTCGTTGCATTACATTTCAGTTATACGATAAAGTGTTTGTAATTTGTAACGCATATTAGAACACGGTTGCATATAACACAAAAGTGAAGCAAAATACATACAAGTTTCTATTTGTGTTAAAATTGGTGATATTCGTAATATGAATTTCGTATCAGTTATAAACTTGTGATTGTTTTGTGTCGCATCTGGTGCTTCGTTTTACAATTTGTTCAAAATTAATACTGTGAAGATTAAAAATTTCATACAGGTATATTATTTTTGTATTGTATGATTATATGTTTAGTATTTCCGTAGTATAACCGAAGGTTTGTTTTTCTCGATTTAATTGACATTTCTACAAATTGCGCATACTTTCTTTTCTTTTTTTATTTAGTGTTGTTTAGAAAACAAAGTTTCTACGTATTTCATAGATTGTATTATTTCATGTATATTTATATAAAGCACGCTAGGTAATACTAGAACTGTATATTAGGCACGCGATTAGTTTTTCTATAAAATTTAAAGATATACAATACTGCTGCAATCGTTACTTTTATACTTCATTTAATGTTTCAATTATCTCATTATTTAAAAAAGAAAGGAACAAACGAAAGAGAGAAATTAACAGTACAAAACCGGTGTATAATTCTTGAAATTTTTATCGTATTCTAAAAAATTGTAGCAATAATGGTTTTAGTTGGAAAAATTCGACTGATTATTTCAGTAGTATAAATTGGTTGATTCAGGGCTTAAGAAAAGTGTATTTTTGCGCTTAAACTCCGTTTGTAAAGCAAAGTAAAAAGAGTTATTACAACGATATTGAAGTTTGTTAAATACAACAACGCATATGTAACAATGATTGATATACTTGTAACATTTGAAATAGGTGGTCATTCCGTTTATTAGAAATAATATACAGTGATTGGAAATAAATCTGAAAGTGCGTGTATAAGTAATAACGAAAATAAGCATGTGGAAAAAACTGTAGGTAATATTGTTCATGCACAACTCAATTACGAAATTCGTTATTCCGTGAGTGCATACTGCATGGTCAACTTTTTCTGCTCAGCTTTTTGCATGAACCAATCAGAATTCGTGAATATGCTTGAAAAGAAAATGGCTAACTCGTGTCGCTGGGTTCGAGCGTATCTTTGCGCGTCGTTTTGTGAACCCCGTAGTCTGCAATCACGTTGACGTCTATCGCCATTTCCTCACAAGAGGATTCTGTTCATTTACTTTCTAAGGTATACGCAACTATTTTTGCTACGGTTATTGTGAATATTTTTGATCACTGTGCTTCGCTAGTAATGCGTTAGTAAACACGAGTAGAAATTCAACGGTTAAAACGACAGGTGTTGATGTTACCGCGAGTGCAAAAGTGCATCGCATCCTTCTATAAATATGGATGCAGTCCTATTGCCGGCCGGCAAGCTAGACGCAAAAAATTTCATTTGTATTTCTCTTAAAGCATAATTAGCATGTTCTGCATTTAAATAGATTATTCTACAAGTTTTTGTTATAATAGTGAAATTCTCGTGTTTGAAAATACATTATTTAATAATAGAAACTTTTCATAGAATATTTCAAATGAAAAAGGAGTAGGTATAAAATGTCATCGACGATGTACTAATGAAATTCGTAAAAATTTCTTTATTTATTATTGTTTTCTCGGTACCAAGTGTTACATTATATTTTGAACAATGGTTATTTATAAACGCGGGAAATTGTACAGATCATGTATCGTATGCTATATAGTGAAGTTGGATTTTCGATCGAATTCATTATATTTCCTCCTTTTTTTGGATAGTCCATATTTGATTTTTATTTGTAGGTGCCTTGATAATTTTTTTATTCGTTTCCAAGTTTTTCTGTATATATTTCTTTATATATGTTATGTTCAATTTATCTTATAAATGGTATTTTCAACCAAAAGGGATCAATAATGTTAAATATATTAAATGGAGGAATTACATTGTACAAGAATGGGTTTTGTAGGAATGCTACTAAACATTGTACAAAAATGTTGAAAGTTCTTTATCACATGGAAAATGAAAATGCATATATTTATATTTCACTATAATATCACTATGTATATCACTATGTATTTATCTTTGATTATTTGACTATAAATCAACATTAGCACTTGTAATCTGTTAAAGTATATGGATTTTGTTTGAAAGATCATAGGAAAGAGACACATTAAGGATATTATTTCTTTCTGCACCTAATGAGAAAAAGTGTCTAATGTTTTATATTGTTAATTGAAACAGAAGAAAACAGCTTTATTATATTAAATGTGTATCTTTTTCTATGTGAGGTATCATATTGCATATTAAAATAATTTGTTTTAGCTATGGCAGAAGGGAATGGAGAAATAAAAATGGAAGAGAAACAATCTAAAGAGGAAATGGAATATGTAGAAAGGACAGAAGATTTTTCAAAATTAATCCAGTATGGGTTAGATGAAAAAGTAGCTGCAAAACTGGATGAAATTTATAAAACAGGAAAATTAGCTCACGTGGATTTGGATGAAAGAGCGTTAGATGCTTTAAAGGAATTTCCTGTTGATGGTGCATTAAATGTACTCATACAGTTTCTTGAATCTAATTTAGAGCATGTATCAAATAAATCTGCGTACCTTTGTGGTGTAATGAAAACCTATAGGCAGAAAAGTCGAGCTGGACAAGGCACTGGTACCAGTACTACTCCAAAAGCACCAGACGAGGACAAAATAAAAGTAATTGCATTTATTTAATTAATTTGACCTTTGAAATTCAGTATAAATAAAGTAAAAACTAACAAAAATATTTCAGATGATTCTTGAACGAACTGGATATCCTTTAGATGTAACAACAGGACAAAGAAAATATGGAGGACCTCCTCCAAATTGGGAAGGTCCCACACCAGGAACTGGTTGCGAGGTAAAAGGATTAATATATTTCTTCAACCCATTAAGTTATATACTATTCTTTCCTAAAGACAATTGTTACTAATATTTTTATTCATTTCTTATTACGTATACTCGTTTGTTTTTTACAAAAAGGTTTTTTGTGGTAAAATTCCAAAAGATATGTACGAAGATGAGTTAATTCCCTTATTTGAAAAATGTGGAAAAATTTGGGATTTAAGATTAATGATGGATCCAATGGCAGGTTGCAACAGAGGATATGCATTTATCACTTTTACTAATAGGGAAGCAGCACAGCAAGCTGTTAGAGAGGTATGTAGACAATTTCCAACTATCTTTAATATTACGTAGGTACATGTTTGTGAAGCGTACAAATTCTGTTATCCTAGTTTACAATATCTTGTTATAAACATATCAATTCCCTTCACTTTTGTTTACAAAATTTCTAGAAATGTTACAAAATTGTTATTGCTACCAAAATAAGTGAACTTTCGAAATGTTTAAATATCTTATTACAAATGTTTCATTTCTTTGTTTCCTTTTCTTTTTGATAACTTGTTTTATCGAATCTTTTTTAATTTGTCATATAATAATAGTTGTTCCAAAAGGAATAAAGAATTCTTCTCTTACAACTTTCAAATAGCATTAAACATTTCGAATAAATTTTTTTCATACTCCCATGTGGCTTGTTCTATGTTGTGACTTGCGTTTTCTCTCTCTTTCTTTCCTTTTATTTTTTTGTGGTAGTTTTAACGCAAATGTTTTAGGATTGTTTCACTAATGGTAAAAAGTAACGAAATTTGAGATTCAATGTTTTTAGTTAGGAACAATCCACATATTTGTTTTATACATACATACATACATACATACATACATACATACATACATGCCACAACACACACACACACACACACACACACACACACACACACACACACACACACCTGATTAATGATTCATATTTAGGTATATAATTATGCCCAACATATCCTAAATATTTAACAACAACATGATACAAATAGAGGAGACAATAAGCGCACATACATACATAAAAGTATACGTACCTCCATCTGTCCATCTATTACACACACGCACACGCACTCGAACACCACACACACACACACACACACCGCATACTGGGAACATATAAACGTACATACATACATGCACAAAAGAATGAACTCGCAAAATTGCATATACATGTGCGCGTCTATACATACACGTATACACGAAACCCGCATACTTACGTATGTACGTATATACATACATGCATACGATAATGATGTCCTGTGGATGAGTTTCTTTTTCCAGCTCTCCTCTTTGCTCAGTGGGCAAAATTGGGAGTGGAGAATCTTCCTAAACATGAAACGATGAAAAAAGAAATATCTCGTGTGGTCTAATTGGTTAGGGGTATACTTATTCAATTGGTTAACTTTCATTGGACAGTGACAATTTTTGTAACAAAATTTTGAAAATTGGTAGGCTTAAAATTTGTTTACAGGAGCACATACGTGAACGCCGGTTTCCTATATTGTGAAGACTCGAGCGACAAAGCGCATGCCACTTTCTCGCTTTCATGGAACCAGGCCATGCTAATTATTTCACTTAATCGCATATTTTGAAAAATTTTCCTAAATTCTTCTGTTTGTCGCAATTACATAAAACATGAAGTGTATCTCATTGGAACAATATTAGGCATGTGTTTGTTTTCTTCATCCCACAGCTCGATAATCACGAAATAAAACCCGGCCAGAATCTGAAAGTAAACATTAGCGTTCCTAATCTACGACTTTTCGTGGGGAACATACCAAAGACAAAAGGCAAAGAGGAGATCTTGGAGGAATTTGGTAAATTAACAGGTAAAGTGAATTCGAGGCGTGTGTACCTACCTATCTACCTATACCTACCTGTCTACCTGTATTGTAACTTAAGAGTGGTAGCTTTTAAGTAGTGGTTGTAGATGGTATGGAATTATGGAGCATCCAAGAAAAACAATAACACGATCGCGCGCGTGCGACCGTGCAATTTGCGACTACCTATGACACCTTCAGTTCTGGTCAGTCTCTCCTTGCCTCTCGGTTTATTAGTGAACAGTAACACCTCTCTGGTCCAAATCTTCTTTTCCTCGCATATTTAGGTTGAGTTATGAGTTATTATACGCTTCCTATTTTTATTCATCGTGTTTCCTTCCTTCTCTCCCTGTCGACGTTTTTTTTTCCCGCCTAGCGTTTCTCCTTTCCTATACCGTTCGCAGTTGCCATTGCCGTTGCCGTCTCTACAATCATCGATACTACCACCACCACCATCACCACCACTACCATCATCATCATCATCATCATCCCATCTCATTACATCTTCATTCTAAGATTCATTCTAGATCATTTTACGATCTGTACCAAACCATCACTACCACCACTACGATAAACGTCATTTCCTTTTCACTATTCTAAACTCATATCGAACACACATAAACACACACAAACACTGACACGCACACGATCAATCCCGATCTTTGCATTTGAACTTTGATCTTTTTGCCGATTTGAACATGTACTTGCGTTTTCCCTTTCTTTCTTTCTTTTTTTTTTTTTTACTTTTTCCCGTTTGTTTTTTTTTTTGTTTTTGTTTTTACTGTTGACAACACAGAAAAGAGACAGAGTAGTTAGAAGAGAAAATGTGGAAGCAAATCAGTATGACACAATTGTTCTGGTCGTAGAATGAGTTAGTAATGAAAATAATGCGCGCTGTCCTGGCGTGGTTGTTAGCAGTTTTCGCATCATGCTAACGCGATTCATGACTGGGCCTCGAGCATGGGGGTATGGGAGATCTGCGTGGACCGCTGGGGCGTTTGGCTCGCTAACAAACGGACAGGCACTCCCATCCACGTACATACCTACTTGCCTACCGATCAACTACCTATCTATACCCGTTCATCAACTGTATACGATTTTTATTGACTCCAGTTTCACTTTCCACGGTCCTCTATAGTTCTGCTTGCCCTTTTCCTTCGTACAAGATAAATAAAATTACCCCCTGAAGGTCGCTTCACGATATCCCACGTTCAGACAGCCAATAAGCAGGTGAAATTATAAAAGGCAAGCTTAATTGGCACTTTCCTTCCACATTATTCTTACAGCTGAATGATTATGAGATTCGGAAAGGGAAAAAGATTGGTGTTACCGTATCTTATAACAATCACCGCTTGTTTGTGGGAAATATTCCAAAGAATCGAGACCGAGATGACTTGTTCGAAGAATTTACAAAGCACGCACGTAAGTTGACAATTGTCCTTAAATCAGCAAGCCGTAACCGAAGGAAGTTCTATTGGGAAAAAGTGGTGGGACAGAACTTGTGTATCTCTTAACGATCGGCTGTTTTTATCCGATTTTTGTCAGAGGTGCCAGGTGGGTTAATTTTAGCCCTCTTGCATCATTATCAAGTAGGCAAATTTCTTTTTAAATTGGATGGCCGTATGCTATCGAAGAGAATCTTTTCACTTGTTAAACGTTTCGCACATGTTCTCGCAACGAAACCCTGTTCAAGTTTACTTTTCATTTTCCACAAGAATTCTTCACCTTTCGCAGTTCTATTGTTTTTCCTTGCCTATTAACCTCTAGATAAAAAAAAAAAAATGCCCGTGGTTTTTCTTCTTTTTTTAATTTTTATTTTTTTTTTCTTCCTCTTTTTGTAATATGTATACTCAATTGTGTCCCACAATCATGAAGTTTCAGTTTATTACAATATATACATGTCGTAATTATACATGCGAGGCATGTAACATGATCTTCGTTCGCGTTTCTTACTTTTTGTTTTAAAAAATTTAACTCCAATTTTTTTTCGTTCATTGTTTTATATTTTTTTGTTTCCTTGGCTTTTCCACTTAACATTCTCGACAAAGAAAAACTTTTTGTTCGTTTAGTTTGATTTTGGGACACGTGAACATATGTAGAGATAGCAGTAATTTTAATTGAAAAGGAAAAAAGAAAAGAGAGCGTGATCGAAATTAGTAAGGAAAGGATAATGAGAGAAGCAGCACCGTTTACAGTTACATAATAATTTCTACATGTACGCGCTCGCATCTTTAGAGTATGTCGGGTTCCGTTTACATAGAACTAAAGACTGGATAGAATATTGCATTTCATACGGTACAAAATATTCTATTTGCTTCGAACTTTTTCTAATATATTTCATATCAACGTGTAAAATCGGTCAGAGTGATTGAATGAATGTGTGCGGTACTGTCACATTTTATGTATGTTTGCATAGCATATTCTTGCATGTAATGTTCAAGTCTGGACACAGAGAGGAGATAATGGATAAAAATGACAGAGTAAAATGTTAACATTGGATTCACGAGGCATAAGGATAAATAATCAGAAATTGGTAAAAACAGGTCACAGGGCATCTGAATTATTCTAACGATCATTATTGTAACGACATTTACTTTGTACAGTTAGAAATCAATGGCTGACATTGCAAGACTAAGTTTTCTTTTTTTTTCTTTTTTTTTGCGCCGGTGCCGTGTTATCTATTCATTATATACACGCTCACGACACGCGCGCGCGCGCGCGCACACACACACACACACACACACACACACACACACACACACACCACACACACACACAACACACACACACACACACACACAGCAGACAGACAGACAGACAGACACCCACACACCCGCGCGTATACGCGTGCACTTACGTACGTACGTACACACACATACATTTGTGTGTATGCGCGTGTGTAAGCCAGTTCTTAAACTGAGAGGAAGGAGAGGAGAACTATGTTATAAAGGAAAGGGCAAAGAATGGCAGCAATTGATCGAATATCAATCATTTAGGAGCGAAGCAATTGTTCGATTGTTTCTGCAAAATGTTTTTGTTAATCTATCGGTCGTATGCACAAATACTGATTGGAATGTATTTGAACGAACGTAGATTTTCAAAAAAGTATCCATCTATTGTATATTCGTAAATCAATTATTGTAATGCATGTAAATTCTAATAGCATGACAATACTGTTTAATAATAATACATTCTTCTGTTCTTTCTATATTTACTCTTCTCATAAGTCATTAAGACGAACTATACCGATAAGTGGTAATACTATTAGAATCTGCAAACATTTGGAAACTCGGTGAAAAATTTGTTGAAGCCGTGAATTTCTTGTTCATGTCCAATAGCTATATTTCACGATATCTCTCTTTCTTTCTTTCTCTTTTCTTAAACATACATATTTGTAGCTTTCTTACGTATTATCGTGCTTTTCGGTTGGTATAGAATTTCCGACTATTTTCCCGAACTAGATTTTCAGAAAAGTATTGTCTAGTTTTAAATTCAACTTGAATATTTTTAGAAAAATATGCGTGTACATACTTAACGCATAGTGTACATACATGTACACACGCGTACGTGCGTACACATTACATATGCCTATATACGCATATAAACACACGCGCGCGCGCGCGCGCACACACACGCACACACACACACACACACACACACACACACACATCATATGTAACGTGTAATATGTTATTACGTGATACACATTATAAAGAATATGCGTACATGTATTAACGCGTACGCATTACAAGTGTGTGTTGTAATCGAACATAATCTACGTAAGTTACAAGCGTCATTGGTACGATGTAATTTGTATTCTGTGTGTGCGGTATTGGTATGGACGGGAGTGTGTATCAGGGAAAAGGGGTTTCTCGCATACGTATAGTGATATAGTGTGTTTTATCTTCCACACGTACGTGTGTATGCGTTCGGCTAAAGATTTGATCATTTTCTGTGTGGTACATACTTACTACATATGCTTCACATTTTGAAAATTCCTGAAAAAATTACCGATGATGTGTATTCAGCACGAAATCTTGAACGTTGACCTACATTTCTTTCAAACGGATCAACTTAATTTATCGTTTACGAAGAATTTTTCGAACAACGCGTGTGTGTACAGTTGATAGTGTAATCGTGAGTATTCGTGTTAGAAGAAAGAAAATTCAATTCGTAAATTCCGTTGTAGCTTTTAAAAATCAGATTTGTAGCCGAAAGAGGTACGAGCCTTAAACTACATATTGCTGAACATTCATTTTATCATATACGCATATACATAATTATACGTGTATTATATGTATGTATATACACGTGCGTGCGTGTCGTGTGTGCGTGCGCGCCCACCCGTTTGGCCGCACACACACACACACACACACATATAAACACATCACGAGTACAGTTTAGTAGATCGGTGATATGGTAAAGTTACAGTCTTTGTGTTTTAGTATTATACTTTTAGTTTTTTCTTTGGTTAATTTTTCAGTTGTTTAGAATCGTCTAGAAATATTTTATACTTTGTCTATATTTTCATATATTTTATACAAAATTAGCAAAATATCTGAACGCTTCTTAAGTAAAAATGTTTATCTTTAACGTGAGAATAATTACCTCTCGTGATATAATTTAACACTTGGTAATGCATAATTGCAATTTCAATGTTTCATGACACATATAAATCATCCAGTTAGAACAAATTGGACGATACATTTTATCTATTAAATTTCTGCTTGTTTTCATTTTCTCGTCTCTCTCCTGTCCTCTCCTCACCTCTCCTCTCCTCTCCTCACCTCTCCTCTCCTCTCCTCTCCTCTCCTCTCCTCTCCTCTCCTCTCCTCTCCTCTCTCTGTTCATCTTTTCTTTATTTCAAATATCTTCAGAATCAACAATATAGTCAAGGATATTTTGCAGACATATCGGTAATGCATATATTGGTAAAACTCTGCTTTTTTTTTTCTTTTCAAATTTATACTTTTCGCGGATCTCGAAAGTATGTAATCCGTTTAGTTATACATCTATACTTGTTACACATTGACGAACTTTGTTTATCCATTTCTCTCTCTCTTTCTCTGTCTTTCTTTCTCACCCTTCCCCTTCCCCCTCCTCCGTCACGTTTTCCTTTCTTTCTTTCTCTTTCTGATTTTCTTAACCCGTAGATCTCTACATCTTTTGTTGTTGTTGTTGTTTTAATGTTCCAACGAATTCTATTGACCCATTTTCTTTTTTTTTTTTATAATTTTTCATCGTATAGCTGGCCTGACTGAGGTGATTATCTACAGTTCCCCGGATGATAAGAAGAAAAATAGAGGTTTTTGCTTCTTAGAGTATGAATCTCATAAAGCTGCTTCCTTAGCAAAACGAAGACTAGGTACTGGTCGCATCAAGGTATGGGGCTGTGATATCATAGTTGATTGGGCTGATCCTCAAGAGGAGCCTGATGAACAAACTATGTCTAAAGTGAGTGTGATCGACGCGCGTTGTGAGAAGAGAAACGGAATGAGAGGAGACAAGGTCGGTTGTTTATGGAGAAATTGTTGATTCTAGGTACGTGTGTTGTACGTAAAGAATTTGACGCAAGATTGTTCCGAAGAGAAATTGAAAGAAAGTTTCGAGGAATATGGTAACATCGAAAGAGTGAAAAAGATCAAAGACTATGCGTTTGTGCATTTCGAAGAAAGAGACAATGCCGTGAAGGTAAGAAATAACGGTGTCGGTCGCGATGTGATCGGGGATAAAAGAACGGTACACGCGTTTCTTATTTTCTATCGTCCACTCCGTGTTTCAGGCGATGAACGAATTGAACGGAAAGGAAATCGGAGGTTCTCACATTGAGGTATCTCTCGCGAAACCACCATCTGATAAAAAGAAGAAAGAAGAGATGCTTCGTGCGAGGGAACGAAGAATGATACAAATGTTTCATGGTCGTAGTGGGTGAGTCGTAATTCGTTTATATTGCTATTCTTATTTTTCATTGTAATCTATTTTATCTTCGAAATCACAGTGAAACTGCTGCCCATTTCAGGGGTTCTCCGTCGCATCCGAGTATGATGGGAGCACCGATGCCAGTTCGTGGTCCTGGCCAAGGTCCCCGAGGTACCGGTGCAGGTATGCGAGGACAGATGGGACGAGGTGACTATGGTAAGTACCATCTTCTCCGTCTTCATCTTTATGCGTTTGTTCATATTTCTAAATCCATGCGGAACATACACACGCACAAATTCACGCGCGCGCGTGCGCGCGCACACACACACACACGCGCGCGCGCGCGCGCGCGCAGCAAACACACACGCACACATACACTGTTGTACGTAACACTTTGATCGCATTTCGTCGTCCTATAACAACAACCACAATAACAACAACAACAACACTTGTACGAGAAGAAGATAACATGTACTTCGTGTAATTTATACGGTTTTGTTCTTATCGAAGTAACATCTTCTTTTCGCTTGCATTCAACTCGATTCACTATTCGACTTAGACCATAACTTACATTCACGAAAGCCCTTTTGATATTTCAACATTTCTTCACCAAATTGTTTGTCATTTTACCCATGTATATAACAAATTCTGGGCTCGGACATACCTATAATATATAATGCAAGTTTCGAATAAAATCTGTTGCAACGTATATCAATTGCTATTTAAACGCTGAAATTGAAGAGATATAGAATAGAAAGGTAGAAGATAAACCTCTGTTAATGGTAAAAAGTGATAAGACGATCGAAGTAGTTATCGGTAAACTTCTCATCATGGATTTAAAACACTAATATTTTATTTTTCAGATTTAAATAGAAATACGAATCATTGTTAGGTCATTTATATCGATATCTTATGGTAATGTTATGTGACACAAACATCCCGCATGCTTTTGGGGATTTTTCACTATCTCACTACATACCTCGGCTTACGCGCATGACATTGTTTACACGGAGAAACTTATGTACAGAAGTATATATGTACTTAACGTCGAATCACATTGTATCACCTTATCTCGTCGAAATCTTTTCTTCTCGACCTTGAAAGCCACGATCCTATTGTTCGATTTAATTGTCGATTATGAAATTGTGCAACAGCTGTAAAACGCAAATCTGTTCACTAAGCAACGAGAGAAGTCATCTATAATATGTTTTGGAGAATTAACGACAAGAAGTTTTGCATCATCTTAAAAGGTTGTGTAGTGAGAAAGTGCTAGGATGATGGAAATACTTTTTTTTAGTTATTAAGCCAAATAGTTGTATTCGTATAATACTTTTATTAAGTTAAATTTGATCTGAGCCTACTACAATTACATTTTCAGTAGCTTTGCGGTTATTTTTTTTTGCATTCCTTCCGTTCTTGAAAAAATTGCAATATTTATTTTCATTGATGTGTAATTTACATAATTTGCCGAATAATGTGCAACAATTGGATTTATAAGACATGATGTTGGGTAGAGTTGAGTAAACTTGCAACGTTACAAATTTCCGAAACTTTCGATCGTATATAGTATGCTCATACATATGGCAATTATCCATATGTATGTGGTCAGCAGGTGTGGCTTAGTACAGAATAAGAGCACCTTATTGCCTTACCACTACCACTTCCTGTGATACCTGTTTTCTTTGACGTATATGTTTGTTTTGTGTGCGTGTGTGCGTGCGTGGGTGGATGGGGGCGGGTGTACATACACCCACATGTACACCCACACACTCGCACACATGCGCGTGTATTTTTTTTCTACAAAAGAAAAGTAATTGCATGTGTATTGTTTGTTTTGTAATTACGTACGATGGTGCCCAAGTGAGATTTATTTATCACATCGTATAATCATACGCATTTCCAAAGAAATCAGTCTCTTTTTTTCTCCCTTTACTTTTTTCTTTTTACGTTATTTGTTCTATCTCGTTTTATGTAAATGCGTGTGTATTTCGTTGAGTTTGTATGCATCATAAACTCAGAAAATTTGGTTTCAGCTCTCATGGAAATAGGTAAGATGCGATATTGAATTACGAGTGGAACGTAGTAGAGTACCATTTGGTAGAATTGTGTATTTTTTCCCTTTTGCAATTATATGTCTGACGTTGTCAAGACGCTAATGTCGGATCATCGAAAATCCTTCGTGTATATGACAATGCGTTTGGATTGGTTGAAAAGAAAAAAAGATTAAGATAAAAAAAAATCTCGGTTCTATGGATGTTTCGCGAAACCAGCATGAAGAATGTTGTTCTTGGTGAAGTCATCGAGAGAGAGCGAAAAAGGCTCGATTGCGCGCGCCGAACAGGGGGCGAGAGAGAGTGAGAGTGAGAGAGAGAGAGTGAGGGTGAGAGAGAGTGAGGATGCGAGGAAGGAAGGGAGGGAGGGAGAAATTGAGAAAGACTCGAAAATTTTCAATGATCCGAAGGAAGCGTGGAATTGACCAGGATACGTGATGGTGGTAGGGTAATTATTGAGTTTTTTCTTTGCAGTATCGTAATTACACAGTAAGAAACGCTATACGTTTAACGCGATGACTTTAATTGAATCGTTTTGCAACACGATTGCGAAGAAACGTCATAACAAAATTTGGATGTACATTATTTTTTCTTTCTCTTTTTTTTTGTTTCCTATCATTGAAGTTTTTAAAACCATCTTTTCCCGGCATGCCTTTTCTTATGCGAAACACGAGTATTAGTTTTGAATAAGTTGTCAATTGGATATATCGTGGCTAAATTTGGGTCTATTTGTAATGTGTGTTTTTATAGATTATGATTACGACTATTACGGTTATGGGGATTATCGAGGTGGCTACAGTGATCCATATTACGATGACTATTATCGATACGAAGATTACTATTTCGATTACGCGCCGCCTCCGCCACCTGCCAGAGGGAGAGGCAGGCAGCCTCAACCGGTGGGTTGCCTTTTTTAATGGTTCTAAAGTCGTTTCCGTTACTGAATCATTATTACATTCTTTGATATATATTATGTATGTATGTGTGTGTGTCTGTATATGTGTATATATATATGTATGTATACATATGTATATATCTATATACATATATACACACATCAGCGGTAGTTTGACTGTGGCACAGTGTTCGCGGATGTATCCCAAGTACATCGTATAATCCACTTTACACTTTCCAAATAACCTGTCCATTTTATCGTTCAATCAGAGCGTGCATTCATTTTTTACTTGTCGATGTAAGTATACACGTATGGGCATATAAATATATGTGTAGATAATTGAATACCGCACATCGGTACATACCTACATATGTACGTACGTAGAGCTCTTTTTCTATTAACGACGACACGTGTGCTACCTGTCATGAATGTGTGGGTGTATGTTTGCATTTTGTGTGCTTGTGCTATTATATGTGTATATACTATTTATACACATATCTGATCCGTTTATCATATTTCAATATGTGCATCTCTTTATTTATTTATTTTCCCATTTGCCACATAGCCATATTCGGTACATTGTTAATATCAGCCCAGTTGTACACAAATTCAACACTTACACCAGATAAATAATAGATGTATTCTGCTTTCACTTAGTAAAGCATCGTAGGAATAATTAAATAGATTGAGCTTGTTACATGTCTATAATTGTTTTCTACCCTGAGGAAAGAAAAAATTGATTGGCATAAAAATAGTAGGTGTCTGTGAGAGATTTTGTATGCGTGTGTGTGTGTGTGCGTGCGTGTGGCCGTGTATGGTAACGTAATTCATTAGGGGATGTGAAAGAGGAGTGCAGAATGAAGGACAGGAGAGCGTGACGGGACGAGAAGGACGGCAGGAAGGGGCGGGGCGGGGGGCTACTAGATATTTCTTGTATATCTATTACTAATATTATTGCTTACACTAACGTGACCCTATAAACCGAACACATTGCCACTTTCAAATTGCTTGCTAATCATATCTGAGCCATGGTAGACCCATTCTAAATTTTTCTGTAAAAATACAGCCGGGAAAAGCTATGAGGAAAGTAAGAAGAGAGGAACGGAAAAAAGGAAAAAAATATCGAGCAATGCATACAATAGCGAGAGGAGAAAGGGGAAGAGATTGTGGGGGTGGGGAAGGAGGGAGACGACGCAGAGGTGACGAAGGAATAACAATCTCTCTTGTTGTTACGTTTTTCTCTACGAGAAAGGAAAAAGATTGCAAATGTATTATAGTATTGTACGTGTTTCCCTAATACCCACCACATTGTCGGTAATATTTACGGAAAGCCCAGTAGTAGGTCGCTCGCAATGCACCATAGGGAAGTTCCTGCTGTGCGTTCTATTCCATGTGACATATGCACATCTATATATATAATTTACGTGTATATGCATGGTGGAAGGAAAATGAAATCGTAAACTACGTATATGAGAAAACTCGGTGTTGGATAACCAGAATGAAATACGTCTTCGGTTTATGGCTTTTTGGATCAACCAATCTAACATCCGAATTGAAACGTCCGTACTGTTTTGGCATTTGATAACAATTTGTACGATTTACAAGCTGTTAAGTAAAATTATTTCACTATATCCCTTCCAGCAATGCTATATATACACGTATATGTATTGTGCATATACTTGTACGTACATGTATACACACGTGCGCGCGTGCAAATAGATTATGCACACGTAAATAGCGATTGACGTGAGTCTCGTGGCTCGGATATGATACACTTATGTAGGTACACGCGTATATATACGTATGTACGTATGTATGCAGCATGTATGTATGTATGTATGTATGTGTTTGTATGTCTAGTTGCAGGGTTATCCAAATACTCTAAGAGAGCATTGAGTACTCTGTGAAGATCATTGGAATTATATCATCGTTACATTTCTTTGATAGGCTGACTGGCCACAGGGACAAATTTTTAGAAAGACATAGATACGTAGAAATAGATAGATAGATAGATAGATAGATAGTCGAATCGGTAGATGAATAGATGAATAAACGGTCGTTGAATTGATCGGCTAAACTAGTAAACAAACCGCACTGTTAACACGACCGACACACCGACATTATTATCGATCGATTGTTTAGCTATGTTGAAAAATTTCTATCGAGTGAAATTATCTCCACGATCGTTAGGAGTGTTTCTTTAATTTCAGTTAGTCGATGTTGCTTCGCCTTAGTGCATTGATCTCTACGAATAATACGTTAGAAATGATGCGGTGAATATTTCGATTGTCGCAAGTACGTATTTTGGTTTTTTTGAAGGAAAAAAGAAAGGGTTAGTTTGAGCAAAAGCTGGAGGAAAATGAAGATTATCCGATCGTTGGTAGGAGAAGAATAGAATGGAGGGGGGAGGATAGTTCATTGGAAATGTTTGACGTTTGCGTGGGACGTATGCCTGTTGTATGAACAGTATTTACATACTAAATGAAGTCTGACATGTGAGTATAGGTAATGGATGAAATAGAAGCAAGGATTTAATATAAGGAGAAGAATGGAAAAAGAAAAAAAGAAACGACGATGATTTCTGGTAGTCGCTGCTAGTAATTTGTAGCATCGATAATACTATTTGATGGCTGTTGCTTGCTTCGACGTACAAAATATCGCTTAAGCTTTTAAAAAGTACTACCCTGCTGTATGATGCTGTGCTGCTGCCGCTTATACTATTTAAATGTTGACATATTAAATTTTGTTCTAGCTGACAGTGCAGTAGGTTGTGTCGCTTAAAGTTCCTTCGCCATCCCAATACAATAAGCTTTCCGCTTTACTGCATTGGATAACTCTGCTAATACTACTGCTGTCTGTAAAAAATGTGGTTAGTAAGATTTGGTTTTAGGTGATCCCTCCTTGCGTTGCATCGTTCTGCATTTCATGTATATATTTGACCAATATATGTACACATACATAAATGGCTATCCTATATTCTCTATGTACCTCCTTCCTCTCTGCTTACCACTTTCCACTTTTCCACCTGTCCTCTCTCATTGTTCATTAATCATAAGTGCGTGGGTGCGTGCCTGCGTGCATGCGTGCATGCATGCGTGTGTGCGCACGTATGTACGTGTATGTTCATATAATAGATACACGCATAAACACTGTTTCATATACGCGCACACTATTTCGAATGTGTATTGTTCGTAAGTACGTATTCGTAAATCATGTACGTCTATAAATTCATGCATCCCTGCGTGCGCGTACGCGCGCGCGCACGCACGCACACACATCAATACACACACCAACGAACTTCTAGCGCGTACATGCACGCATACACACACATATATACATACACCTATGGTTTTGCATACGAGTATATATACATATGTACCTATTGATGTGTACCTGGACGTGTACGTGTTTGTATATAATACGTGTATGCATATATATATATAGTGGGCATAAAAATGTACATATGATAGAGTTAGTTGACGATGGAACTAACAACCGGATCAACGAGTGGTTCGGTGTTTCGCACATGTATATATACGAAAGTGGGAAACTATTGTTGATGATAGTCTCACTTCGACACACTGTATTAGGCTCGATTTACGAACAAGCAGACGATGTATAGGTAGAAAATAATACGTAGGATGTGAACGATTAGATATTAGCTATAACGACGAGAAAAAATATGTGAGGAAAAATGAGAGGAAGGGGCTGATAAAGGAGAGTTGAATAATTATTGTGGAGAGTCGGTTGGGGGAGGGGGGAAGGGGTGTGGGGGCGGGATGGGATGGAGGTAAAGTGAAAGAAAGAGGGAGTAAAAAGAGCGCGCGCGTACGCGAACGCTTTTATTAGGAGTGTAAGTAATGTCACATAGGGTAACGATTGGGTGTGTGTTATTTGGTCAGGCTGGACGTGGCCGTGGAGTAGTGCCGCGTGGCAGAGTCGGTGGGCCGCAAGTACGTGGGCCAGTCAGGGGGGGACGCAACCCCGCAACTTCAGGGCCCCGTGGGGTCCAGCGGCTGTCCGCTCGTGGGGGGGCCCGCGCCAAGGGAAGTTTACCAGGTGAGGATGGTCTGTATCTCCACAATAAATCAATCATCTTTTTACATTATTTTTACACACGCTGCTCTCTTCTCCTGTTCTTACAATTAGAGACTCTTTTCGTATTTGCCAATTGCCGTGTGCGTTTCTCCTCCTCCTCCTCCACCTCCTCCACTACCACTTCTTCCTTCTCTTTTTCTCCTTCCGCTTCATCTTCTTTTCATTGTCGGCTAATCCTTTGATTCTTGATCCTGTATCGTCGTATCGGGGACCATGTGTCGAACGTTTCACTGCACTTTGCCCCGAATTTTTTTTTCCATCTTTTTTTTTTTATGTCGTATTGTCGTGTACTTTCTGCATAATGTTCTTCGTTTTTCTTCAATCGATAATTAGGCTTGTTACTTTGACCGTTTGTTCACAAGTGTGCAGTTTTATCACGTTAAACGCGTAAAAATATCGTTGGCTCATTGTTCGACTTGGATTTGACGAATAACATTCGTGTAGTGTTAGAGTTTCTCCTTAGCAAGATAAGTATTACTTTGAACATGTAAATTTCTGAGCGCAGTTTCTCTCGATGCGCGTTGACACATCGGTACTTTTCCAATTAGTTCAAATGCATTCTGCATTCGCTTAGTCGTCATTCCGATTCAGCGAACAAGAGAGACACCATATACACTATATCGTTTGCATTGTTGATTATATGTTTTCCATTATTATATTAACGCACGAACGAAATAACGATAACAGTGTGTGCGTGATCACTCTGTGCGAGCGAATGACAACGATAGCGATGTTTGTTGCGCGCGAGTGTGGGAGAGAGTGAGAGAGCAGTGAGAGAGGGAGGAGGAAGAAGTATATTCGCCACGGTGATAGAACAGAATTCTATATGTTTTTTTTCGATTACGCGATGAGAATCGAAGGTGACAGAGTTTGTTTTATTTGTACAGCAGGTAAACGAAAATTTGACGGGGGTCACCAGAACCAGGGGGAATCTAAGCGTCGCTTCCAGAGCAACTGGGGAAACCAACCCCTCGCCCAACAACCACTGGGCAATGCGTACGGATTGGCGAGTGTGAACGGTGGCAGTGGTGGTGGTGGCGGCGGAGACATGGGATTTGGAGGTAGGACCGCCACGCTCGGCGGTGTTTCCAGCGACGATCACGAATGGTACCAAGACTCCTACCAATCGTGGAGCTAACTTCTGCAAGTCTGTGAGTGAACACGCACGCAAGCAAGCACGCACGTAAGCACGCACGCACGCACGACGAACGAATTCATGAACGAACGAAACGAACGAACGAACGAACGATCGATCGGTCGGTCGGTCGGTCGGTCGATCGATCGATCGGTCGGTCGATCGATCGATCAAATAAGCAAACAAACAAACAAAAAACAAAAAGAAACATAACACTATGTGTACAATGGATAAGGAGGAAAATTGAAGTTAGCGTTAATATGTGCGAAGAAAGAAGCAGAGTGAAATGCAACGAAAACAAGAGGTAATTGTGAGAAAAAATGGAATATAGAACCCGGTAGTGTTTTTCAAGCGAGACGTGGAGAAGAAAGATGGAAATGGAAAAGGAGATAGAAATCCACTTATATGCTATATCTGCTCCACCGATTTGGCAATTGTAAATGTTTTTATGCCTATTTATAATCATCGAATGAACGAACCACGGAACGTGAGAAAGCGCGTGAAGCGTCGTGCTCTAGGCGTCACCACCATCGCCCGCTATTGTTGTGATGTATGTATACAGTGATGTGCCACTGGGACTAATTATTACATCAGAGTGACCACCCAACTTACCCACCCCGTACTATTACTATCTCTCCACACACACACACACACACACACACACACACACACACACACACACACACACACACACGTGTATATGCATGCAGTATGTATATGTATACATATGTACATACACGTACAGACGCACACATGCATACACACACTAATCTAAGTACTACTACATTGTCACATTGTTTACTGCCAAGTGATACAAAGATCAGCGATGTTGACATTAGGATTGTGATGGCTTGTATTAATTAAGAAAAATCACGGAAGCCTGCGATTTTATTATGCTACGATTCGACATTTTGTGTGTATGTGGAAGAACGTGTATACGTGAGTAGATCGTGAGAGAAGGCATGCGTACGTGAGAATCTAAGGAATAATCAGAGTGGATGGGATAGTGAAAGAGAATGATACACGGTGATGGGATGGGAAAGGATGAAGTTGATGAGGAGATTGAAGAAAGAATTTGCAAGAGAATAAGCGGTGGTTCGTATAAAAGAGAGTGAGAATGTTATCGAGGACAGACAGAGTTCGTTGGAGGATGGCAGACAAAAGATAAAGGGCGTGAACGGAATATTAAAAGTATCGATATTGCGATAAATTTTTATAGTTCTTTCTTTTCGTCGAATAAAGAAAGAGAAGAAGGCTACGTATACGTGTTAAAACGAGTGCTGCTGCATGTTTACGTGGTACGTGGAGTCTGGCTGTTTGTCCGTCTGTCTGCCTCTGTTTGTCTATCTATCTGTTTCTTTGTTGTATGTATGCTTGTATGTGTGTCTGTCTGTATGTGTATGTCTCTGTTGTTTGTCTGTGGGCGATTGCTTGTGCATGCGTGCGAGTATTATGTACGCGTCCAAGTGGGCCGCCCGTGTATGCGTGGAGCGCGCCAAGCGCCGCCTAGACCTTCTATTGTTGGTCTATAATGTGTACAGTCAGTGAAACTATTATTATTATTAAGGGTCAGGCAGGTTTTATGGGAATAGGAAATGAAACGTTAGAAAAATCAACGGTTCTACGTAGAAATGTTTCGTATTTGTTCGATTACGATCATTGGTTTAGGATTAGCATATAGAGAGCAGAATATTTCGAAATAATAAGAATGGAAAGAAAGAAGGGATTGTAGCTGTTGAAGGCAACAAATTTGATCGAAATAGGATTCATTTATGTAGAAAAATTTTTTTAGCAATACACTGTCCAAACGGTGAGAAAAGTGAGAGTTATCTAACTGGATAACGTACTAACCTTTTTGCGCCCCCCCCCCGCCCACACACACACACACACACACACACACACACACACACACACACACACACACACACACACACACACACACACACACACACACACAAACACACCGTCCCTCTTTCTTCTTCTTATTTCGTAGCCAGGGAATCGAACAAAGAACCGTTGAGTACAAATGGACGAATGTAACGAATAGAGAAAAGGTATAGCTTATATGTTTCGTTTTTATCTTTGTCTTAAATTTTACTTTCAAAATTTTTATGTTGCGTTCATCGCGTGATCCTTGCCACACGCGCAGGAAAGTTTCTTTTTTAGAACGACTGACTACTGAATTTGATAATGATAGTCACGGATTGATTTAGGATGTGTAAAGTGTACGCAGCGTTTACAAATGCATGAACACATACGGCACACATTTTGAGTGTTGACTCGTTGTTATTGTTAGCCTGTTAGTTAATTAGTAAGAGTTGCAAATGCGGGCTATAGTTGGTCCCTGTCCCCCTGGAGCCCAGACACCCCCTGTTCTGGAGAATATTCGAAATGAAAAACATAAGCGAAGCC